TTGTGCAGTGCTTAAAATGTTACTGATGTATAAACCGCTTAAGTCATGTGCAAGTTGTAAAAAAACCAGCCTTAAGGCTTAAAATCTGTGTTCTTCCAAAGTGAATGTAAAACACTAATGTTCTTCAAGAAGGGTGAGAGGCCACCCACTGACCAGGCATCCCTTCGGAGGTGCCAGTCATCTCTTCGCCTCATTCAGGTTCAGTTCCTGAAGTACAATTTTCACCCTTTAAAACAACTCTTTCTCTCATCTAATGGTGAAACTGACTACTCAGTCCTGGAGAAAAGTACTTATTACAATGTATTTCTATTCGGCTTTGCCTCTTTTGCAAATCACTAGGGTTTTTTCAAGCATTCCCATGCTTAAATGAGATACATCTAGAGGTGGAGAACTTTTATATGCACTAACGCTAGCCTGCATATTGTGTAACACACGCCTGAAAATAAAAACTGTTTATTAAAATAGTTATGAGGTGACAGCTCACTCTATAAGTTATCTTACAGATAAAACATCAAATACGTTTGTGTAGGGGTGCAGTGGTTTTTGCCTTTTTAAGATTTTTTTTTTAAACACAAACAAGGTATTTTCCTCCCGTTTTTGAACGTCTGTTTTTTACTCATCCACATGATCTTGAAAGTATTCATCCACAAGAGCAGATTTATTTTCTTCACATTCCTGCCAAAAAGAAAACAAAGAAGGTAAAGCCTGACATTTCCCTGCTGCACACTGTATGTTGTGACGTTTTGTTCTCGAAACCACAACAGGAACAGTGTCTAATAGGGGTCCATAAACATGTAGCCAAACTTTCTGAAAAGCAGTTTGTTTCTAGAGCTACTGAAATTGTGTAGGTCAAATCTAGACCCAGGTATTCTGCATGCCTGAAGAGTACAACACTGAATTAAAAACCGGAATAAAAGCACTGTTCCTTGGGATTTATGAGCTCAATAATAAAACTAGACAGGGCTAGGAACAGATTCTAACACAGTGTCTTCTATCATGGATTTTACACGACAGACTTTATTCCTAATCTGTATCCCATATACATGGGTTCCCCACAGGAATTATCAGGGAAGATTAAACAGTCTTCTAGTACAGGAAGAAACCTTAGCAAGCCTAAAAGTCCTTTCTGACCTTTCAAGTTTAAAATTCCATTATTTCTGAAACCCAAAGCATTACTTTTAAACACAACCATTTGAACAGTCTGCATACCACAGAATTTCACTTTTGTAATTGTAAATGAAGACAGTATCAGCACTGTCACTAAAAGAGTAAACATGGCTTATTTTGAACCATACTAAGACAATAATTTATTAGCAAGACAAAGAGCATATTTATGTTACAAATTATATTATGGATACTTTTTAGTTTTTCATCTTATCATCAGAAGTACCTTACCTTTGGTTCTTTAAATTCAAGATCTTCTCCGTACTGAATGGTAAAGTCTATGTGCTGCAGAACTATGTTTATACTTTCCTCATCAGAGCGATCAAAAGGTAGAAATCGAACCATCCCATAGTCATCAATCTAGAGAAAGGATTCCAATGACATTAGTAAGGATTCCAAGGACATTAGTAAGGAAACGCAGCAAGTTAGATCTCGATCACTCTAACTCACTTCCTTAAGCCCCGCTTACATCTGCCATGCCTGGGCTGCTAAAACAGCATGGAAAGCCACGCTGCAAACCAACAGCAATTCTCCATGCAGAACACCTGGCTATCCCTCCTAAGTTCTACACAGCAGAAAAAGCCCTTTTCCAAAATTGCCAATAGAACAGATTCACAGAAAATGTATGGGCTACGATCCAAATGCCAGTATCAAGAATCTTATGCTAATCTCAAAAAACAATAGGCATAATGTAAAATGCTTAAGTGCCCCAGAATCTTTTAGATCCTGGCTTTGTGAATTCTGGTGGGTAAACACAGTTTTGGGGCAAGGTGGGGAGAATTACTATAGTACATACAGCACCTGTAACAGCCACACAGTTTGGTTTAGAAATGCAGGACTGAGTTCAAGGGCACCAGTTAAAAAGCAATATACCTACCAATCCACAGATAGATTTAGTCAACTTTTTAAACATTTTGCTTTTCAATATATTTGTAGAATCTTCAATCATAGAATACATATCTGGATCTAAGTACCTGGGAGAAACAAAGTCATTGTTAACATCTAAAGAATCCTTGGCCACAGAGCAAATGAATCATTGTGCTTTTGTACAGCTACCAAAACCATCTGTCACTCCATGATCCCAATGAACGAGCTTCGTATGAGGATGACTTAAAGTGTTTTAACATAGCTGAAGCATTTGTGTATCTCAGATTACAACTGCCAGGAAAAACAACTGAAGCATCTTTTATTTTCTTTTCACTAATATACTTGTATGCTCAAGAGAGCTTTGAGGAAGACCACGGGAAAAACTTTAATTCTGTAATTTTAGCACAAATGTAAAAGTAGCACAGAAGTAATTCAGTATATTCCGTATCAAAAAAACTGATAGGATCACCTCTGGTTTAGGTTTTGAAGCACAGTTCCCTGGAAGGTCCTTCAGAATGACATGTTACTCAAGATAGTTATTTACAGAAAAATCCAGAGCTAAATATGAACAGAGCCAGCCTGTTGACTCTTGGCTAAATTGTAAGCATCCCATCCAGACATTTAAAGACTATGTTCGATATAAACCACAGCACCTTTTCCCATTCCAAAAGAGTACGTTTTAATTGTGGGCAACATCAGACTGAATTTTGAGTGAAGGTTGCCTCAATATATTACAGTACATGGTCATTAGTTTTTTGGAACTTACTTTTCTATTTCCTTCTTGGCCTTCTTGCTCAGCAAATCCATTTTGGTCATGATGTTAATCTGTGGAATCTCTAAGGATATCATTGCACTGAGTGCTGCCAGAATTCCAGAGATAAACTTGAGGAGTATGAAAAATAATGTAGTTAAGTACAGAAAACCACAATACCGACATGCAGGACACTCAACCAGAGACCAAATCTAGCTGATGAATGTATGAAGCATGGACACAAAGCCATAGGAAGAGTCACCCTGTCTGCTGGAAAAGCGAGGAGCCAAGTATCCCAGCTGACAGCTATTTCCAGAGCCTCTAACATGGATCTGCTGCTAAAAAGGCCATTATGAAAAACTCAGAGCCCTTCTCGGGATTCTTACTGCTAGACAGGGAAAGTGGCCTGCTCTCTCCCCAGATCTGAGACAGCTCACAGAATCCCAGAAGAATTTAGGTTGGAAAGGACTTGCAGAGGTTATCTGTTCCAAAGCACTGCTCAAAGCAGAGCCAGCTTCGAAGTCAGACCAGGTTGCTCAGGGGTTTTGCCCAGACCATGAATGTACACACCACCATCTCTCTGTGCCTGTCCCAGTCTGACCATTCCCACAGGGCAGGATTTTTTTTCTGTACATCCAACTGGAATTTCTTTGCTGTGTTCTGTGTCTGAGACAGCTGAAGGCAGCAATCAGATCTCCCCCGGCTTAGCATGCTTTCCTCTGAGCTGAACCCAGCTCCCTAAACTCCTCAGATTTCTTGTTCTTTATCAATCTGGACTTTCACAACAGAGTTCAAACGGATACCTTAAAAGACTCCACCATAAACTGAGAATCCACAAGGAAAACTCCACAGACGCGGAATTCCCACTGCTGAAGCTGCTCCACCAGCTGTTTCATCACTGGCAAATGTGTGTAGAGCTCGATCTGACCTAGGGCATACAGCACATTAGTATACAGAAACATAATGGGAACAGTTACAGTGCAGGCACTGCACTTAACATGAGCAACAGCTGATGAAGAAAGCATGTTTCCCTTCGGACAACTCTGACTGTATTCAGATGAACTGGAGAAGTGGAAAAGAAACAGAAGGGCTTTTCCCTCCCTTGACCTCCAATCAGTGCTAGTTAGCAGCTGTCACAGTGTTCCCGCACCGTATGACGCTATTACACGTCAGTGCAGTCACCCCAATTATCCTGGGACCAAGTTCACTTCTTAAACATCTAAAAGTGTCCCTGACAATTGTTAACGATGCCAACAAAAAGTGTGAGTGATTACAACCAACAAAAGAAGTACTGCAAGTTTTATATTACGTAAGAAGAACGAGCGATACCAAAACACTGACATTCATTTACCTGGGCAATCAAACAATATATAGTCATCTTCCACATGCCCAAGGCTTTCCTCTAGCCAGCTGAAGTTGTTGGCAAAGTATTCCATGCAAAACACCAGGCCGCCATTGGGACCAAACCTTAAGGATTCATCTTCCATTACATCGTCCACTTCTATTAACTCACGGATGTCTGGAACAACAGACACAAGAAGCGGTTGTAGTTCGTTTGCTTTCAGCGATGCCCAGAGGTGCCTGTGCGCGGCGC